GATTTATACCCTCGGAAACCCTGTACAGGGTCGCTATGGGTCGGAACCGACTCGACGGCACTTAACAACAACAATATATATATATATATCCCAAAGTGTGGAGTAAATGGTTAAAAATGGCTAAGCACTCAACTACAGATCAAAAGATTGGCAGTTGGAGCCCACTTAGAGGGACCTTAAAAGAAAGACTTGGTGATGTGGTACTGAGAGGTGCTGTTATTGTTGTTAAGTGCCATGGAGTTAGTTCCGACCCATAATGAATTAGTATAGGGATCCCAAGGAGCGGCTGGTGAGTTTGAACTGCCAACCTTGTAATTCAAACCGACCTTGTGGTCCTGTGGTCATCCTGCAGTGGCACACCAAGACTCCAGCCTTGGAAATCTTCTGGGGTATAGTTCTACTCTGCCATATGCAGGTCATCGTATGTAAGAGACTCTGTGACAACTGGTTTGGTTTTCTTAGTTTGGTCACTATCAGATGACTAATTCCATGGATCTCCTTTCCTTACATTACAAGGTTGTTGTAAGGATCAAATCAGATGATACCAATGAAGTGCATGGCACATGGCCTGGTACATATTATTACCTTTGATTGTGAATTCCGAGAAGAGAAATGAGTTCTAGACCCCTGAGGTTGAAGGTTACAGGCAGGAGAGCCAAATCCAGGAGAAGCAGCGGAGCTCTGAGACACAGTGATAGCATCTGGTTCCCTCAACTGTGCTGGCCGCCTGCTCCTACTGCTTCAGTCACAGAGCAACCCCAACGTTACAGAACAGCGGCACAGGTGGAGACCAGTACATTTCATTCTTAAAAACCAGGACTTCAAAACGCTGTCATGTCATATCTGTTGTAAGATGCCCAGTCGATCAAAATGCCAGTGGTACCCAATTCTTTTCATGAGTACATGCCAATACCCAAACTCATGCCTTTGGGGCCTCCATAACTGAGATTTTGAAGATTCCAACTTTACAGCTATTTATCTCAAATTGTCCTAAGCAGAGGCAAAGAAATCTCAACATCTAGAACAGTGCCTGCCACATAACATGGTGGTGGTGGTTGTGTGTGCCATGGCATATAATAGACTCACTTTAAATACTTGTCAAATGAATAAGTCTTTAATATTACAAAAATCTGAAATCGTAAAGCCAATGGATATACAGACAATCAAGAGTATCCTAAAAGTCATGATGACTGGCTACCATTACTAAACATTCTGATCAAAGGTTCTATAGAAGAATTCTGATCAGAAGGGGAAGAAATGCAGACTGCAGAATGTAATTTTAAGTCCTCACAGAGTAGAGACTTTCTGGACCCAAAGAGGCTGGATGAACTCTCCAACAACTGTCTTGAGAAAATTCTCTAAACCTTAAACCAAAAACATCCAGTGAGTTTTTCTTTAAATCAAAAACAATAGTGTAGCTTAGTTAGTAAAGGATGTCTGCCTTGAGCATTGTTGTTGTTGTTGTTGTACCATCGAGTCTGTACTAACCCATAGCAACCTTATGCACAGCAGAATGAAACACTGCCCGATCCTGGGCCAACCTCACTACTGTTGCCACGCTTGAGTCCATCAATACTGCCACTTGGCCAATCCAGCTCACTGGGGGTCTTCCTCTTTTTCTCTGACCCTCCACCTTACCAAAAATATTCTTCTCCAGTGACTGGTCCCTCCTGACAATATGTCCAAAATATGAGAGATGAAGTTTCTTGGCCTCCAAGAAGCACTCTGGCTGCATTTCTTCCAAAATGGATCTATTGGTTCTTTTGGTAGCCCAAGGCACTTTGAATATTCTCCTCCAACACCATAATTCAAAGTATCAATTCTTTTACAATCTTCCTTATGCACTGTCCAGCTTTCACATGTATATAAGGTTATTGAAAATACCATGGCTTGGGTCAGGTGCACCTTAGTCCTCAAGCTGACATCTTTGCTCTTCAACACTTTAAAAAGGTCTTGTGCAGCACATTTACTTAATGCAGTACTTCATTTGATTTCTTGACTGCTGCTTTCATGAGTGTTGATAGTTGGTCCAAGAAGAATGAAGTCCTTGACAACTTCAATCTTTTCTCCATTGATAAAAATGTTGTTTATTGGTCCAGTGGTGAGGATTTTTGTTTTCTTTACATTGAAATGTAATCCATACCAAAGGCTGTGCTCTTTGATCTTCATCAGTAAATGTTTTAAGTCCTCTTCACTTTCAGCAAGCAAGGTTGTATCATCTGCATATTGCAGGTAGTTAATGAGCCTTCCTCCAATCCTGACGCCACGTTTTTCTTCATAGAACCCAACTTCTTGTATTATTTGCTCAGCATACAGGTTGAATAAATATGGTAAAAGAATACAACCTTGTTGCATACCTTTTTTAATTTTAAAACATTCAGTGTTGCCATGTTCTGTTCGAACAACTGCCTCTTGGTCCAGGTACAGATTCCTCATGAGCACAATTAAGTGTTCCAGAATACTCATACTTTGCAATATTGTCCATACCTTGTCATGATCCACACAATTTAAAGCCTTTGTGGAGTCAAGAAAGCACAGGTAAACATCTTTCTTATATTCTCTGCTTTCAGCCAAGATCCATCAGACATCAGCAATGATATCCCTCATTCCACGGCCTCTTCTGAATCCAGCTTGAACCTCTGGAAGTTCTCTGTCGATATATGATTGTAGCCATTTCTGTATTACCTTGAGCAAAACTTTACTCGCATGGGATATCAAAGATATTGTCTGATGATTTCCATATTCCTTTGGGTCACCTATCTTTGGAATGGGCACAAATATGGATCTCTTCCAATCAGTCGGCCAGATAGTTGTCTTCCAAATTTCTTGACAGAGATGAGTGAGTGACTCCTGGGCCACCTCACTTTCTTGAAAGATTTCAATTTTTATTCCATCAATTCCTGGTATCTTATTCTTTGCCAAATTCTTCAATGCACCTTGGACTTCCTCCTTCAGTATCATTGGCTCTTGATCATATGTTACCTCTTGAAATGGTTGAACATTAACTACTTCCTTTTGGTACAGTGACTGTGTATTCCTTCCATCTTCTCTTGATGCTTTCTTTCTGCATTAGTTTCTTCTAAAGAATTATCTATATGAAACCAAACAAGCAAAGCAACTGGAAAAGTTAGAACGGAAGCTTAGGGGGCGGTGAGTTTATGTTAATGGCGGAGGAATCATTCAGAAAAGAGGGTCAGTGTGGTTGTCCAACTTGAAGAATGTAATCAACATCACTGAATTATACATCTAGAAATTGTTGGCTTAGTGTCTGCTTGGCTGTGTATATTTTCAACAAGAAAAAAATGAAATAATGTATTTTTTTAAGACTGTATTAAAAAGTTGTCTTATTCCTCAATGGTGAAAGTGGAGGTAGTAACTTACTTGTTTGATGTTACTTTCGGGCAGCAGGATATACATGCTTATACCACCATGGTATCTGAGCTCCAGGACCTGCATGGCTGGGTCCTTAATGACAGACAAATTGAACCTCTGTTCTTGATGCATCATGGGAACTTCTTTTCCAGGACACTGAAAATCAATTAACAATAAATAAGTCAATACTTCTAAGCTCATCCTTGTTTTACTTATTGACCAAGTACCATGAATTTGGGTACATGCCATAGCAGTGAAAACACAGAAGCAGGGTTTCAGGCCTAAATTGTCAACTCCCCAGCTGTGGGAGCTTGGGCTAGCTCTTTCTCTGGGCCTCCACTTCTACATCTATATAATGGGGGTGGTAGTGGTCCCTACTAGGAATATTATGAAGATTATGTGAGTTAACATGCCTTGCACTTAATACATTGTCTTACATTTAATGTCTCATCAGTAAGTATTTATAAGAGTATTGAAATGCATAATTATTAAATAATGGTAATACTTTTTTTCAATGAATGCTATGCATCTTTCTCTCACCAGAAATAAAATACGGAATAGCATTATCAAAGCTATAGAATTTAAGAACTAGGTCTTATAAAAAAATTTTTAATTCTTGAAAATATTTGTTGCTGTTGTTATTAAGGACCGTTGAGTCAGTTCTGACTCATAGCTACCCTGTATAATAGTGTTTCTGAGAAGCAGCTAGTGGGTTTGAACCACCAACCTTGAAGTTCAAACCGACCTTGCAGTCCAGTGTTGATCCTACAATGCCATACCAGGACTCCAATAAAAAATCTAGGTCTTATAAAAAAAACTTCTTTTTAATCTTACAAACTATTGTTTGTTGTTGTTAAGTGCCGTCGAGCCGATTCTGAGTCATAGCGACTCCTATGAAGGGTTTCTGAGGAGTAGCTGGTGGATTTGAACCACCAACCTTCTAGTTAGCAGTCCAGTGCTTGTCTGACAGTCCTCATCCTACAGTGCTGATCCTACAGCACCACACCTTTAATACCCCCCATTTACCTTGGGGGGAATGTGCTCAGTATTAAACTGTAGATACCACTTGTCAATTTAGACATACCACTTGGGTTTTCATTGCCATTGAGTCCGCTCCTCTCAATTCCTGTGAAGGAGGAACTGTGCTGGGGTAAAAACCCCGACAATGAGGAGGGGCAGCACATACCTTGGGAGACTTGAAACGGCCCTTCAGTGTTTCACTCTTGGTGAAAGCCGATTCCCACTTGCCTTTGAAGTAGACAGCATTCACCAGCACCATGACAGCGGAAGAACTGATGCTGCCTTCACGGAAGACGTTCTTGATTTTGCCTTTTGAAAGTCCATTGTGGAAAAACGTCAATTTTTAAAGGAAAAAATTTTTTAATGTTTTTAAAAATCAATTGTCTGAGGTATTTTTCTTACTGCATAATAATAATGATGGCATTGGTAACAAATAATCCATGAGAAACTACTGTAAAGCTACTTTGTAAAAATTATGTGCACGATTTGGTTTACTCCTCACAGAATCTCTATGAGGCAGACATTACCATGTTTTCGGTTTCCTGTCAAGGAAGCTGAGGTACAAAGACATTACTCTGTACAAAGTCATACATCAAGAAAGCAATGACAGTTGGGGTCCAACTCAGGGAGACAAGACCCAGGATCCCTGCTCAGAGACACCAAACTGTCAGGATGGCTGTGATCAGACACCCTGGTCAAGACAGCACTCCACATTTAACTCCATCAGTTGGAAGGGCCAGTTTCTTCCTTCACACCACACTGGGAAGGTCTTTGCTAGATGCAATGCACTAGTCTGGGTTCTGAAATTGCAAAGAAGGAAAACCTGGTCCAGGTTATTATTGGTCTCACAGTCCGCAAAAGAGGCAAATCACCCAAAAGGCCGTTGAAGCAGCTGGTATCATGGGGGGTTGATCGGTGCACTTTGAGAACAACTGAAAACTCAGTTCTAGCTACTGTTTTGCTTTAATACAAAACAAATCAGGAAATCCATTCATTGTCATTTTCTTAATGTTCTACTTCCAAAGCTAGTGGTTTCTTTCCCTAAGGCTTGAACTTGATTTGTACTCTGAACAAAATATATGTATTTGCTAACTCGATTCAGTATCAAAAGTGCGAGACATGGGACTTATTCTCACTCGCTCTCATTTTTTAACCTTTTATTGTGAATTGAGTAAAGATTTATAGGGAAGATCATTAGCTTTATATTCAACAAATCATACACTTTGTTTCATTACAATGACTGCAATCCCCTCCATGAACCATCAGTTAACAGTATTTAAGTATTTACATCTCTTCACTTTAGCTCTTGCATTTCTCCCTGTATTTTCCACTACTTTCATCTTCCCTCTGCCAACCTCCCTCTTGCTATATATTGCCTTCCTCATCATACCTACTAACATATCTGCACCCTCTAGCCCATGAATAATTTCCCCTTCCCTCTCACCCCTGGTAACAGCCAGAGAATGTTTCTTTTATCAAGATAATATTTTCTGAACTTTTTGCCACAGTCCTCTTACTTAGTCTTTGTTCTTTTGTGATTGCTGACTTAGATGCAATCACTTTCCTTGACAGGAAACAGAAAACATGGTAGTGTCTGCCTCATAGAGATTCTGTGAGGAGTAAACCAAATCATGCACATAATTTTTACAAAGTAGCTTTACAGTAGTTTCTCGTGGGTTGTTTATTATCAATGCCATCATTATTATTTTTCTGGAAGGAACTATCTTTGCCTCATATTTTGTTTTTATAAATGTTGAAAAGAATTTTAAAGTGAATAGTTAACTAATATCTTTAAGGACTTTTTTAAAAAACAATGGTATGAAACTATATTTTTCAAACTGTAGAATATCATAATTTAAATGAGGTTCAGTCCAGAAGGTAAACATGAAATTAAAATCAACCCAGTACTAAAACAGATGGATTGACTGTTATAAAAGAATATTATGCTGTGTCCATTGGAAATAATGCCCTGTAGTCTTCTGTTAGTTTTTGGTCAATAACTAAATATTATCTATCAAAGTTAATTAAGTAAATTGTCTCCTCATATCATTAATTAATGAAATGGCCATAGTAATGAAATGGCCATAGTATGTGTTTGTCTTGCTATCTGTTTGTTTCCCAAACAAATCATACAATGTAAAAGATTAGATTTCTGGAAAGCAGAAAGCATTAAAAGAGCCCTGTGTGTGCAGTGGTTAAGCACTTGGATGTTAACAGGAATTTCGGCAGTTCAAACCCAGCAATGACTCCATGGGAGACAGATGTGGCAGTCTGCTTCCATACGATTGCTGTTGTTTTATTAAGGGCCATTGAATCAGTTCCGACTCATATTAACCCTATATAGGGTTTCTGAGAAGTGGCTGGTGGGTTTGAACCACTGACCTTACGGTCCAGTGCTTATCCTAGAGTGCCACACAAGGACTCCTTCAAAGACTGCAGCCTGGGGAACCCTAGGGGTCAGTTCAACCCACCCTGTAAGGGTCACGATGTGACAGAATAGACTTGTGAGCAAAAAGCTTGGTTTTTGCTTTTTACAAAGCATTGAAATTATTAAAATCACTCAAAACTACACTGCAGCAAATATTAAACAATTTTAAATAACAGTGATCATTACTTTGGATTAAGGGGGATTCCTTCTATACAAGAAAGACTCACCGCTTTAAGTGAGGAGGTTCTCAGTATTCACACATAACTGTATAAAACAATAGAGCATTTCACTCACCATGTGTCTCATTTTCAATCCATTTATTAATTTTATATCTGGTGTCTTCTACATCATTTGTAAAGTCAACTCGTTCCACTCTGGCATTGTATAATTTTTCAGCACAATCAATGTAGTTCTATAAATAAGAATACAATCCTTGTATTTATAAGTCACCACCATCAAAGCATATACACTTAAAAAAAAAAAAAAAAAAAAAAAAACCTAAAACGAATTGCAGTCATGGCTCTTACATGTGTGTCAGAGTAGAATTGTACTCTATAGGTTCTCAATGTTAATTTTTTGGAAGTAGGTTTCTGAGGAGTGGCTGGTAGGTTTGAACTGCTGAACTTCAGGTTAGCCATCCAGTGCTTATCCTACAGCTCCACATAGAACAAAGCATTAGCTTATCTTTGAATTGGTTCACTCTTCTTTCCTGTTTCAGTCCTTTTGTCCCATTTTTTGTTCCCCAGGTGTATGCTCTCAGAAGAATTATCCATTATTCATCTGTAAGTATTTATTGCAAGCTTTGTTTTGTTGTTGTTAAGTGCCATCAAGTTGGTCCCAATCCATATCCTGCATAGGGTTTCCAAGGAGCAGCAGGTGGATTTGAACTGCTGACCTTGTGGTTCTAACTGGCCTTGCAGACCAGCACCAAGACTTTGCTTTAGGAGAAGTCAAACTAAGGTAAGCTGTGTGCAATTAAGTTGAAATTGACTTTTAAAATACAACTTAATTATGTTGCCTTATTTTTCTCATCTGTATCATCTGTCGTATATTTCTGTATTTAATTTGCTTCAATATTTTTCATCTAAGATTATGAAAGAGCTTGGTTTGTAATTGACATTCTTATAGCAACTTTGTCAGATTTTAGTACCAAGATCACGCTTGTCTCTTGAAACTAGTTGGAAATGATTCTTTTTTAATATGTGTAAAATTTGTGTAGGAGTCCTGGCGTGGTGCTGTAGCATAAGCACTGAACTGCTATATTACAGCAAGGTCAGCCATTCAAACTCAACAGCCACTCTTTGGAAACTATACACATGGTTGTTATGAGTCGGAACCAACTTAAGGGCACATAACAGCAACAAAATTTGTGTAAGACCAGTGTTACATTTACCTTAAATACTTGAGAAATTCACTGATGAAACACTATGGCATGGAAGTTCCTTTGTTGAAATGGTTGGAACTCAATTTTGTTTATAGACATTATTGTTCTTAGGTGACGTCCAGTCCGTTCCAATTCAGCAACCCTGCCTAGGGTTTGAGGAGCAGCTGGTGGGTTTGAACTGCCAACCTTGCAGTCTAGTGCATTATCCTGCAGCACCACACCAGGACTCCATGATTATGATAGTTTGTGGCTTTGTAGGATCAGCACTAGACACTAACCTGTAGGTCAGCAGTTCAAACCTATCATGTGTTCCTTTGGGGGAAGGGATGGTAGGGTTAAGACTATGGGTAAGTCCAGACTAAGACTAGGACTTCTTGTAGTGTTATGGTTATGGTTAGGTGTAGGGTTAGTATTAGGAGTAAAATTTGAGCTAGGACTAGGAGTTAAGGTTTTTTAGGGTTACTTATTTTTATTTATTTTATTTTTTCTTGAAATCTTGATTTCTTCATCATTTAGAAGTTCTGTTACTACATTATTCCCATTTTTTACATTATAAATTTGTTTGTTTTTTATCACAAGCTGGTATCTCTGGTTCCCTATTTTCAGCCTTGTAGGTTTGTTTGAATTTGAATACTTCTGTATCTGAGTTTGGGGTGATATTGTCATATAGGTCAAGCTCACATTACTGTCTACTGTTGTTGTCTTCTGTCCAATTAATTATGGCTCATATTTTTTTAAAGCTTTGTCTGGTTTTTACAGTTTCTTTTAATTTTGCTTATCTGTAAATGTCCTAATTTCTTCATCTTATGTGATGGACAGTTTTGCTGGATCAAAGATTGTTACTTGGCAATTGTTTCTCTCAGAGTTTATATATGTAATTTCATTCTGGTCTTGCCTAGTTTCTGCTAAGATATCAGAGTTTAATCCTATTAGTTCTCCTTTGCAGGCAACTGTTTGTCCTAAACTGCTCTCAGGATTCTTTCCATGTCTTTGGTTATGAAAAGTCTGATTATAATATGTCTTGGTCCTTTTCTCATGGGGTCTATCTTATTTGGAGGTTATTCAACTTTCTGAATGCATATCTTCTCATCTTTCATGAGACTAGGGTATTTTCTTCCAACAGCTCTCTGGCAATTATCTATATGATTCTTTTTTGAATTTTGATCTCTTCCTGTTCTGGAAGAGAACATCATACATAAGGATGATATCATACATCCTTATTTCTAGAGGAATAATCATACATAAGTTATTCCTCTTGATTGTGTCCCACATACACCTTGAACTTTCTTTAGATTTTTTGTGGTTGTTGCTTTTCTTTTGATGATTATTCCTCTAGCAGATAAATATTGAAAGATTTGTCTTCAAGCTCACAAGTTCAGCCTTCCATTGATTCAACTTTACTTCTTTGTCCTTTCAATGTCTTATCTATTTCTGAAGTATTGATATTCATCTTCTAGTTTTCTAATTGCTGTTTTTGTATGGGTTCCAATTTTTCTATCTCTCTTTTTTTTTTTGGTTTTGTCAGTTTGTTCTTGTACTTTGTCAGTTTGTTCTTATACTTTGTCAGTTTGTTCTTGTACTTTGTCAGTTTGTTCTTGTACTTTGTCTCCCAGTTGGCAGATTCACTGAGAGCAAGGACTGCTGTTACTCAGTACATCTGCCTACTTGGCCATATTGCCCCGGAAGTAATTCAGTACTTTTACATTCCTTTATTTCATTTCATTAGCTGGTTATTTTTGTATGCTTTATTAGTATAGATTATAATATATATTCTTGATGTGGCACTGTGGTATAAAGCACTAGATCGCAAAGTCAATTTGAACTACAAGGTCAGTGGTTCAAACTCACCAGCCACTCATTGAAAACACGATATTGGGTCGCTATGAGTTGGAACTGACTTGATGGCACTTAACAACAGCAATATACAATTCAGACTTCAATAATTTCCAGGTAATATAAGAATTTTATAACTGCTTTATTCTATTCCCCCAACTTACCTTTTGTTGCTATTGTCATCTATTTTAATCCTAAATGTATTATAAACCCACAAGCATGCCATTATTATTTTATCAGCTAATATTTAAGCAGATTTATGGTCCATATCCTGATGTAGTGCAGCAGGATAATGCACTGGACCAAAACGTCAGCTTGAACTGCAAGGTTGGCAGGTCAAACCCACCAGCCGCTCGTTGGAAACTCCATCTAGGCTCACTGTGAGTCAGAACTGAGTTGATGGCACTTAACAATAACAACAGCATGCTCCAGATGTTGGTATTTTTAACCACCTCATATGCATTTGAAAGCTGGGCAATGAATAAGGAAGAGTGTGGAAGAATTAAAAGATTTAATCATCATTGTTATTTTTTAAATTGTGTCTAAAGATGTCCGTGATGGGTATCCTATAAGTCTTCTTTCATTTATTCTTTTCTATTTCTTTTCAGTCTTTCTTTTTTAACTTCTGGCATGACTTGTAACTCTCCATTCAATGATTAACATTGTATATGAAATTTTCAATAAAAAAATTTGAAACTCTGGATGATGTTTTCTTTCTCTAGGGAACAGTTCTAGAGAGCCATTAAAATAGGGAATGGTTAAACTTGGATTGAGTAAATGAAATAAGGCTCAATGGACTGGCCGCTAGGTTTTGGGGTGGAGGTTGCAGTCAGATCTATCATAGGTTGAAAGGGAAAGAGGGGTGTCAAAGACAACTCAGACAGCTGGGGAACCAGGCATGAAAAGAGGACATCAGAAAAAGAAAATATCTGGGTGTGAGAGAGACAGTATGTTGGGATGCCTACGATGCCTGCTAGAGAAACTTCACTAGAGACCATGAGACTAGCCCCGAGAGGTGTGGAATGACATATCACACAGCTGTGGCATGCTGCAGAGGTATGGATGGCAACATCAAGGAACTGTAAACTGGTAGAATTGACAAGTCTCCTTATGTAAGATGGAGACAAAAAGTTGGAAGATATCTGAGAGCACAGTCCTGAGGAAAACTAGAAATGTATGGATGGGTGGAAGAGTTAAGGTAAGCAAATAATTCTAAGATGGAGTTTCCAGAAAGGAAGGCAGAAAACCAGGAGAAATTAATGTCATAGGAACTATAAGTGGGAAGAGTGTTGGGGAGTGCCTGTGGGGTTCAAACTATGAAGAAGCAGACAGATAAAACCCTAGAAGCTTTCAGAGTTTAAGTGTCCATGTGGGGGTCATTAGTCTCTTTCATAGGAAAAGTTTTATGAGAACAGATGAGCTCGAAACTAGATTGCCAAGGGTGGAAAAACAAAGAAGGTGACAAATAGACTCAGCACGTATATACCACTCTTTGAAGAGGTTTGATTTTTTCCAAACTTAGATTGTCAGAGTGAGAAATAGGGAAATGGGAAGATAATTATGAAGGAGCTGGGGGAGGGGAGATTTTTTAAAAAAAGAGAGAGAGTTTGAGAAAGTGTGTGCACCTTGAGCATCCTTTTACATTGTAAGGAATAAGTAAGTAAGTGATTGAAAACCAGGAGAAACACTGATGGAACCAGACCACCGAGGAACTGGGAGGCAATAGGAGGGAGAAAAGTGATGGAGGAATTGACCATCCAAGAACTTCTTTCCTCTGAAATTATCGTCAAAACTCATATGGGCAGAAATATGGAGGTGCCTTACATTTTATTTTTCTCTATCAAGTAGACAAGACCTTCATTTGAGATTTATAATGGATGTAAAGGGTTGTGGGGGGGCGGTACTGAAAGAAGAAAACTTTTCATAGCTATCGTAAGAAAAAATTACTAGGGAAACAAAAGATGACTATTGGGCACCAACTCCAAAGCTAGCTGCATTGGGAGACCATGATACTATAGTGATAACTGCATAATTGTAGGGTTTCCACGAGTATCATTCGATAGCTCAGACAGGAGGGCTGAGGAATACTGAGACTGTTGCAGGAAGGAGTGAATTAGTAACAGAGTGGTTAAAGAATGAATACATAGGGTAATTTGGTATGGAAATGAAGGTAGGAGAGAGATGATACAATGAGAGAAAATGGAGAGGCCAAGAGATTGGTCAACCCAATGCTGCTGAAGAACTGGTTGAGTGGAAGTGAAAGAATGAAAGCACTAGAGAAGTATAGGGTGTTGTGGCCATAAAAGAGGAAATTAGAGTTGTAGATTTCAGAAGTGGAGCAGCCTGGGTATTGAGGAGTTCCAGGGTGTGGCCTTGGGCATCGGTTATTAAAATGGTATGGACAGGTTAGGAAACTGTACTAAGGGACGTTTGGTGGGTATCCCACAGTGACATTGAAATGGTGGCAGAATATGGAGGAATAATGAACAACAGTCACAGAAACAAGACCCAAGGCATCTGTAGCATGGATTGAGAGAAGAACAATGTACCAGGAATAGTGATTGGATGGCACAGTGGGTTAACTGAAAGACCATTGGTTCAAACCCACCAGCAGCTCCATGGGAGAAAGATGGGGCAGTCTATTGTAAAGATTATAACCTTGGAAATCCTATGAAATAATTTTACTCTGCCATATAGTGTTGTTGTGAGTTGGCATCAACTCCATGACAGAGTTTTTGTTGTTGCTATTGTTTTGGTTGGGTATTCAAGGATACCATAGTTATTATAATGAGAATTTACAAAATATTATTACTAATGCTGTCAATTTTCATAAACTCATTTCTATTCAAATGTGAGTAGTAGTTAAACCAAGTATAAATAAATACCTTGTAGATTATCAATTTTATACGGACCTGAATAAGGAAAGCTGACAGTCATATTTTTTAATCAAAAGTAGTACTAGAAATGTGGTACTAACTGTACCTCAATATTTGGGAGGGGAAGTGGTAGTGTCTCTGTTTTCTGTTTTCTTGATCATATTGTACTTTACTGCACTTCCGGATGTGATTTTACATACAATGAGTGCCAGATGAACATGGGGATCTGCTATCTATTGTATCATGATGGACAGATCAGCTTCCAATTTGAAGAGTTGACAATTCCTTGGGGACACAGAAGGGTGTGTGGGACTAGACACTAGGGCTGCACCTAGAGAGTGGCCCTTGTGAAGCTTGTGTAGGAAACTTTGGGGAAGTTAAAAAAAAAAAAAAAAAGAGTGGCCCAATGCTTTGTAATTGCCAAGCTAACAAAGGAATGGGGTGTGGTGCTGAGAAGGGGTAAAGAATTTGAGTGGGTGACAGACAAAGGGAGAAGTAATGATTGGGTGGAACACAGAGAGCTGGCAAAGATGCAGGTGGAGATAAGTCCAAAGGTGTCACTGAGGTGGAATTACGTGGTTGTCTAAGAAGTGGATAATTAAAAGGGAGACCAAACATGCCCAGAGAATCATGGTCACTGTGTTGCTTAAATAGTACTAACTAGGGAAGCAGCTTCTTGTTGTCACAGTAATGACGGTTTCAAAGTATGTATTGAACATGATGGTGGTGGTGGTTATGTGCTGTGGAGTTGGTTCCAACTCTTAGCCATCCTGAATAGGATTTCCAATGTTGTAAATCTTTACAAGAGCAGAGATCCTCATCTTTCTCCAATGGAACAACTGGTACTTCCTAACTGTGGCCTTAGGCTAGCAGCCCATAGGCTGTAAGTGCTTTCTGGGCCCCACTGATCTTTGGCTGGGCAGGATGCAATGACAGATACAGTCCTAATACAAAGGCAGTGATGTTAAATTTTAGTCTACTGAGTCCCGATGAATCCATTCACCACCTGTACTGGGTCTGGACTGCTCCTCTGACAGTTGGTCTGCCTAATCTAATCACATAAAGGTAAAATCAAGCCATTGAGTCAATTCCTACTCCCAATGGCCCTAAAGGGTACAGTAGAATTGACTATACGGCTTTCAAGGCTATAAATCTTTATGGAAGCAGATTGCCACATCTTTCTCCAGGTGAATTCAAACCACTGACCTTTTGGTTAGCAACCAAGCCCTTTAACCAATGTGCTATCTGGAATCCTAACCTAATCATGCCTACCAGGAACTCCTAAGTGATCTCATGGAAAAGGTAAGTAACTGCTGGAAGGAGAGATGAAAGGGCACGGATGAGAAAAAAGAAATGGAGAGAGAGAACTCAGCAGGGGGGATGCAAAGCTGTCCCAGTTGACCCAAAGCTCAAGAAAATGGTTAGATATTTCCTCTGCTGCCCACACCAAATCCCATCACTGTCGAACCATTCCAGTCTCCTGGACACCCTACAGGACAGAGAACCTCCTTATAGGGTTTCTAAGGTTATACTCTTTATAAAAGAAGTCACCATTTGTCTCACCTGGAACCTCTTTTTGAGTTGAACCACTGACCTTTTGTTTAGTCACTGAATACTTGACCACTGCACCACCAGAGCCAATGTTGTTGTTGTTAAGTGTCGTTGAGTCGGTTCCCACCCATAGCACCCCTTTATAGGTTTTCCGAGGAGCAGCTGGTAAGATTGAACCGCCGACCTTGCAGTTCAAACGGCTTTGCAGTCTGACGGACACATTAACACACAGCTCCACACCAGGACTCCACCAGAGCCAATTGTTGTTGTTGTTGTTGTTGTTAAGTGCCTTCGAGTCGGAGCCGACGCATAGCGACCCTGTACAGGGTTTCCGAGGGTGTAAATCCTTACGGGAGTAGAAAGCCTCATCTTTCTCCCGCGGAGCGGCTGGTAGTTTCGAACCACTGACCTTAAGGTTCGCAGCCCGATTCGTAACCACTACGCTACCCAATACATACCCCTAAATAGGCCCTAAATGGGCCGTCTGTTCTCCCTCAGCCTAATTATAGCTCAACAGTCTGGTCACCCTGAATATGTGGGTTGTTGTTGTTGTTGTTAAGTGCCGTCGAGTCGGTTTCGACCCATAGCGACCCTGAACAGGGTTTCCGAGGCTGTAAATCCTTACGGGAGCAGATCGCCTCATCTTTCTCTCGCGGAGCGGTTTCGAACTGCTGACCTTGAGGTTTGCAGCTCGATTCGTAACTAGTACGCTACCAGAGCTCCTGAATATGTGGGTTAGTTGAGTAAAGTAAAGTGCATTGCAAGCAGAATTATGATTTTTTTAAAACACCCAGCAACATAATCTTGCACAGATAAGAGGGGTTACAATTCACTCTGTTATGGCACAATAAAAAGATGCAAGTCTTCATTCAGATGATGTATTGAGTAAGCATCAAATCCAGAGTCAAACTAGCTCTTATACACAGAAGGCATCACTTACCCTATGAAAGTCAAACACCTTTTCTGCAAACACACCATTGGCAATGCTGAGCTCGTAATCCTTGTGGGATGCGTTTATTTCTGAGAGTACTCTTTTCAGTTGAGATTGGAGTCCTGCCTGGTATTAAAAAGATTTATTTTTAAAAAGTCTTCTTGGACTGCAAAATCAAACATAATCTCATGCATGCATGAAATAAAAGCATGTACATTATACCATAAAAGTATGAAAACTAATGGTTCTATAAGAGTACAACCAATACATCTATAAGTCTCTGAAATGCTATACAGGGTCACTATGTGTTGGAACCGACTCCACAGCACCTAGCCACCACCACCATAATCTATAAGTTATTAATAATTAACTTAAAAGGGGTAGGAATTACAGTCATTAGTTTTTCATCATTAGTCTATGCAAAATTCTGATTGTCATGTGCTACTATGTCCTGCTGTCCTAGACTTCAAAGTCTCTAAGTTTAATCAAACTGTTTTATGAGTTTGTAATTTTCTAAGTATCAAATCCGTCTCATACTGAAACTTTTTTTAAAAAACCTTTTTCTTGTGAATGGAGTGCAGATTTGCAGAGTAGATCATCAGCTTTGTGTTCAACAACAACTACAAAAAACTGTTTCATCTCAATGACTGCAATGCCCTCCCTGCAACAACAGTATCTTGCTTCCTCCCTGTGCTTCCTATTTGCATTCCAGCCCCCTTCCTATCCCTGTCAACTTTGTCCCTAGGAAAATGCTGCCCTTTTGATTGTGAATGATTGCCCATTTCATGGTGAGCATACCTTACTAGTGTTGTTTGTGGCCATCCTCCCTCTCCCCCCATCTACTGCTTGGCTGAAAATTGGGCCACAAGGATGAGTTCCTTTCCAGACCTGAAGGGTGATGTTGTTAAGTGCCATGGAGTCAGTTCCGACCCAGAGTGACCATACAGAGTTTCCAAGGAGCAGCTGGTGAGCTTGAACTGCTGACCTTTTAGATCAAACTGACTTTGCAGTCCAGTACATTGGTAGAGGGTCAAAATCTCCAGTTCCCCAGTCTCTTTCTGACCAGTAAGCTTGGTCTTTCTTTTTATTATGAATTTTGAGTTTTGTTCCACATATTTTCCCACTCTGTCCAGACCCTTCTACTGTGATTCTTTCAGGGCTGTTGATAGTGGTAACCAGGCACCATCTTGTTCTTCTGGTCTCAGAGTCTTTTGAAGTTTCAGTTTTTTTAAAGACAAGCCTATGACCTCATTAACTTATTAGAGAACTTTCATCATATTTTTAAGATATTGAGTTTTTAAGCAACTATCTCTCTTGAAGTGAAGTTTGATACCTCCAGATTCATCACCACTTAATGGGATTGAGCAGATGACAGGGAAAAGAAAGGAGAAAAAAGGAGACCCGCCAATTAATTGTAACCATATTTAACTCTGAAAATAAGGATGGTCAGGATGGGGTGTTGCTAAAGTGGATTTGGGATGATTATGTCCAGGTTCTAACTTTCACTATCTCCAATGCTCAAAGATCCTTAAATGGTGAATGTTGTTAAAATGAACTTTTCAAGGAACTTGGAATATCAGTGAAGCCCTTCTCTATTTCTTATGACTGACAGTCAATGTGTGAGTTTGTCTGATAGCTTTCCACATGCTCATGCTTTCTATACACATGACCATATACTACATGCTATATGAGAACATAGTTGAGGACTTTCACTATGACCAATATATGACTAAGGTTGTTGTTGTCGTTGTGTGCTGTGGAGTCGGTTCCGACCCATATCGACCCTGCACAGGGTTTCCGAGGCTGTTAATCTTTATGGGAGCAGAATGCCTCATCTTTCTCCCGCAGAGCAGCTGGTAGTTTCGAACTGCTGACCTTGCGGTTCGCAGCCCAATTCGTAACCACTACGCTAAATAAAAAGACAAAAAGGGAAATTGACAGATCACTGTAAAGTCACATACAGATTTGTGGAGCCAGAATAACAAAATTTAAATATTTGCCCATTTCCAAACCAATTCTTCTAATAAATGGACTTTGATTCTTTCCTACCTCATTTATGTAACAAATATTCATTGGGCTCTGCGACAAGAACTGAGGATAAAAACATCTTAAGATATGAGTTCTAATCTCAATGAACTAGCCTATATTCAGTTGTTGTTAAGTGCCGTCGAGTCAATTCCGACCCATAGCGACCCTGTATAGGGTTTCCAAAAAGCAGCTGGTGAGCTTGAACCACCAACCTTTATATTCAGTAGAAACCCATATAATGTAGTTTTGTTCCGTGGACTCCCCAAACATCTCAGATCATCATACTGTGTTTTCTTCTCTCATTAAACTAGAGGTAAAAGGGTATTTAAAGCATTATAGTTATTCTCAGAGATACATATTCTTCAATAGAAACTAACAAATGAGAACCTTATCCAAATATTTGGAATTCCTATGGGAGTGCTGGAAGTTGCTTTGGCACAATCATAATTCATTGTTGTTTAGAGTCCCTCCCGCTAATAGCCTTGATTAAGCATCAGCCTCCCTCTAAAAGGAACAAAACACTATAGAGTAATTGTTGTTGTTGCTAAGTGCTGTTGAGTCATTTCTGACTCACAGCGACCCTATATAGGGTTCTGAAGATCAGCTGGGGAGTTAGAACTGTTAACCTTGTGGTTAGCAGTCCAGAACTTATCTGACAACGCCACACCAGAACTACAAAAACTAATTCCGGTGTGACCCAGGTGGGACACGATATAGTAATCAGGCAGATTTGATTGCTGAAATCTCTACCCCAAAGACTTCAGTTAAATTCATTTATTTACAACCAGTTTTTACCCTTTTTAGCTCCACCAACTACTCCCAAGTAGAAAGATCCCTGATTATTTATTTTTCTTAACAAAAAATCTAGGCTACTACTGTCATGGGCTCCTGGATGTGGTGCTTTAGGATCAGCACTGAACTGCGAACTACAAGGTTGGCAGTTCAAGCCCACCAGTTGCCCCTTGGTAACCCTACACAGGGTTGATGTTAGTTGGAACAATCTCAACGGCACTTAACAACAGCAGTTACTGTCCTACTCTTCTTCCTGAATCTAATCTTTTGCTCTAATTTGCTCATGGATGTTGTTGTTGTTAATTACTATAAGTTAAGTAAGTACTATAAGTTGGTTCCGACTCATAGCAACCCTGTACAGGTTTCCAAGGCTGTAAATCTTTATGGGAGCAAAAAGCCTCATCTTTCTCCCACAGAACAGCTGGTAGTTTTGAACTGCTGACCTTGAGGTTAGCAGCCTGATTCATAACCACTACGCTACCAGAGCTCCTTCTGCTTATGGATGGATACAGCAGAAAGAAAGCATCCAGACGTTGATTTAGCATGGTTCTCTTTTCTATTTCAATGGCAAAGCTAAATAATCATCTTCAATAAAAGATCAAACTATTGCTAACCGAGCATATTTTTAAAAAATAATTTCTACACATAGTTGGATTCAGTGATGCTTCCACCACTTCACAACAGAAAACAAAGCTCTGCTGCTAAATCTAAGGGTTTACTAAAATAAATAATTACCACCTTGGAATACAATTATTAGCAGTAGAGAGTGATAATATGTACACTAAGTCATTCATTGTATCAATATAAGCTGCCTATGAATGTCATAGGTGAAAGCAAAACATTTAGTTCCCCACCATCTTGCACAAACCTAGCCAACACAAAAGTAAAATTAGGGTAAATTAATAATTAACAAGTTACATATTAAAGGTTCTACTTGAAATGTCCACAGTCAGGAAGTTTGGATGAGACCTGTGTCTTGGAGTCCAAAGAACAGAGAACGTATTTAAGTATTTTCACGAGGCAGGGATTTTTCTTGATGTGGCTTCACATTCATGTGTCTTTAAGAAAATTGTGTAATTACCTGATTCTGTGTGGAATTTCCATGGCCTGAGATGGTGTTGGAGTGAAGTATCTGCAAACAAGCACAAAGATAGAGGTTGTCAAAATCAGGGGTGGCTAGGGGAACAATTAGCAAGAGGTCTTGAAAAGAAAAAGAATATTACTTTTCCAAAAAGCGTGTCTAAATACCACCCCAAGGTCAATTGTATCCAGAGTGGATTCACGCCACATCAACAAATGAACATCAACGGGCTGAAAAGGAGAAAAGCATGTTCCATTTAATTTTCATTAAATGTTCTTCCTTTTTCACCTCCTGCTGTGCAGTAAACACTGGGCTGCAAGCCAGTTTTTCTCCTGGAGAGAAAGATGAGACAGTCTGCTTGGCAAGATTCACAGACTCAGAAACCCTAAGGAGCAGCTCTTCTCTGTCCTTACAGTCGGAACCAACCGAGTGGCAGACAGTGGGACTATCGCTCAGGTGGCCTGGGATTCTGGAACTTGTTTTAATTTACATATATAATTTAATGACCTTGCTTGTAGCCAGACACAGAAATTAAAGTCACATGAAACACCCCTCCTGATATAACAACGAGTTTACGCAGGTAGAGTCCTGGTGTGGAGCTGTGGGATAAGCACTGGACTGCTAGTCACAAGGCTGGCAGTTCAAACCCACCAGTCACTCCTTTGAAACCCTACACATGGTTGCTGTGAGTCAGAACTGACTTCACAGCACTTAACAACAACAAACTGAATGTCACAGCTTTCAAGATAGTCCATGAAATGCTATCCAGGTGCACCGTGGAATGCCAACTGTTTGGTAATCTATGTAACAAATAAGATTCTGAAATTACTTGGAAGCTGTAATACTAAAATTTGACCCATTATGACTCAGTTCATCAGCTCATGTGTTCATTTTAATCACATCTGAATTTTTCTTACTAGACTTCTCTTCTCTTTCTTTCTTTCTTTTTTGTAGTTATGAAATCCTCAGACCTACCTAGTAACATTTCTGACACATTCTCATCACTAATTTTATTTCAAATTTCATTTTATATGGAATAGTATTAAATTCTATGTAAGTTATCACTATGGACGGCCAGAAGAACAAACAAATCTAAGATGGAAGACGTAGAGTCTGAATGTCCATTGTTGTTGTTGTTGTTAAGTGCCGTCGAGTCGGTTCCGACCCATAGCGACCCTGTACAGGGTTTCCGAGGGTGTAAATCCTTACGGGAGTAGAAAGCCTCATCTTTCTCCCACGGAGGGGCTGGTAGTTTTGAACCACTGACCTTAAGGTTCACAGCCTGATTCGTAACCACTACGCTACCAGAGAATGCCCATTAGACGCGAGGATATTGAGACTTCATCTCACATACTTTGGACACGTTCTCAAGAGGGACTAGTCCCTGGAGAAGGACATCGTTATTGGTTAAATATGAAATAAACTAAAAAGAGAAAGACCTCCCAAAGAAATGGATTGACACGGTGGCTGCAACAATGGGTTTTAAATATTACAATGACCCTGAGGACAGCGCAGTACTGACCCGTGTTTGCTTCCTTCTGTTGTGCATGGGGTCACTGGGAATCGGAACCAACTCAATAGCACCTGACAATAGTAAGTCTTTCCTCCCTCTCCTCCACCTCAGATATTAGCATTTGCTCAATATTGGAGTTGCTCTTAACTCTCAAGGTATTGGTAATACAGAACTTTCCATTATTTGAATCCATGCTTTATTTTACCCACTAGATTTCTTTAAGCACAGAAACTCTGGTTTCCACTCATGCTTTCATCTTACCCTTTATAACTACACATTGTCTCGCACAAAGGAGGCATAAAATGTATTTTGTTCTATGAGTCATTTGCTTTGGAGATGTTTCTGCTCACCCATCTTAAGACGAGCCTGACTAATGTTCTCTTATTTGTATTATCTCTCTTAGAAAACAGAAAAGGCCTCCCCTCAGTGTACAAATCAGTAGGGATGAGTATAATTGGCTTCTATCATTGTCAATCATCAAGGGCTGGGAGGAAGGCAGGTCACTTCAAAGGAGAGAAGAAGCAACCAGAACATGTCTACTAAGCTTTCCCGTGGACAAAACATTTTATTGGACCATTGAAATATTTCAGGGAATAAGATAATACCAACAAAAGTTAATAATACTGATGTTATAAACTTGAATATAGATAAAAAGACTTCAGCAGTTAGATACATAGCGTGTCACTGTTCTAACACTGAGTAAAATGTTACATGTGGAAATGTGATTAAATCAGCCAGTGTTACTATCAATGCCTCCCAAATCCAGGAAGGCATTCTTCCAAGGACAGAAAATTTGTACAGATATGTCATACAAATGTTTTTCTGTCTGTATTTGCCACTATTCCTCTTGTTGTTGTTACGTGTCATCAAGTCCATTCCTACTAATAAGGACTCGGTACAGGGTTTCCAAGGAGCAGCTGATGGGTTTGAACCACCAATCTTGTGATTAGAGACCAATGCTTACCCTACAGTGTCACATCAAGACTCTGTTGTTTCTCTTAGATGTTTCTTAAAGAAGGCTATCATAACAAACTTTATACAAAGTAATGCATAGAAGTAATAGGTAAGCATGAATATCCAAGGGCAGACACACCAGCAGCATAGCAGCTCTTCCAATTCACTGTGACCCACCTCCCATGAGCTGCTGACCTCAGGCTCCCAGTCATCAGCTGTGGGGCAAAGAGACTGTGGAGATACACCTGCAGTAATCTGGAGAGTGTCTCTGATGGGATCTCATACGGTAAGTAGCAACTGTATCTTCGCTCACACTGAAGGAGAATGTTAGTCATAGATTTGGAACATAAACATAACTTTCTAGCACCATGGACAGGGACAACTTTAAAGTGGGATGTTAGGTAATTAACTCACCCTGGTTAGCACAGAGATGAAGTCATGTTACCAAGGTTAGAACTAACTTTCAGGCCAGTACTCAACTTCCATTGCAACAAGTTGCCTCCCTTGGTTAGCAAGCATTATATATTTTTATTAATGGATGAATGATATGTCGTTATTAGCTGTTGATTTTTTACCAAAACTTTTATATTTATTTGTTAAGATATTAACTTTAAGATAACTTAACCTTTGCCCACATTTACTTTGGGCTGCCTTTCTGTTTTCTGTGATTCTCAGCTGGCAGCAAATTTACCCACCCCCTTGGGATATTTTTAATTGTCACAACAGGGGAGGAAGTGAACCACTGGCCGGACATTATGTTCAACATATTACAAAGCACAGAACAGCCCCCTACAACAAAAACTTTCTGACACCAAATGTCAGTAGTGCTAGGGTTGAGAAGCCCTGCTTTAGAAAATCACTCTGAGTTGGTTTAAGTCCCAGACCTGATTGTCATTTGCGATCAGAACCAGTTGCCATGGACTTGCGTGGGACTCATGGTGATCCTGTGTGTGCCAGAGTAGAACTGTGCCTCAGAGGGTGTCCAATGGCTGGCTTTCCAGAAGAAGACCACCAGACCTTTCTTTTCGGGTGGCTCTAGATAGACCTTGAACCTTGAACTTTTTGATTAGCAGCTAAATCCAATAAGTATTTTCACCACCCAGAGATTCTATCATATCTAACATAATTTGCCTAAAATCAGGGTACTATAACCTATATCAATGTGTTCATTTAAATATCAAATAAAATAACATTTGAAGAGCTTATTCCAGAACCTGGCACACATGAGATTTTCAGCAAATTTTTTGCTATTGTCATTTCCCTGAAGCAAGATATTCAAGGTTCTAGAACTTGGGGACTACTCCAACTTTTAGGGAAATAGGTCTTAGACTCTGTGACTGTTCTCCTGCAGGAAATATTCACTGAGCTCTCTCAAGAGAGAGGGAGAATAAATAATTATTCTAGCTTTAATTATCTGCACTAAGATCCTCAGCAAATACTTAGGTGTGAAAGGCTACAACAGAAATAATCTAGAATCAAACCAAGTCAGCAGCACACAACAGTAACTTATCAGCTACAAAAAATGGGAGAAAGTAATGGGCAGAAAGGGATGTTACCAAGGTAGGCACAACCTAGACCTGGTAGCTCATCTGTTGTTGGGCGAATGAATTCCGATGACAAGTTCCTTGAAAAGAGACAAGGGAACTGCGACCATCTCACATACCTGGACGTCTTAGTTCAGGCTGAGTACCAGGGCAATAAGTGAATAAGAGATTTCTGAAGGTTGTGGGGTTGGGGGTAATGTTGACAATGAGATGTTCATTAAGGCTGACTACTACTCTCTGGAATGTACTATTAAGGGGTTCATGCTTGAGTCACTGGGACGTCATTGCTACCTCCTTCTAGCTCTATTGTCCCATCCATGTCTACTGAGGTCTGGAGCTCAGACTTTCATGCCCCCTCCAGGAGGGCTTATCCAAACACAGATTGCTGGGCTCTGTTCTCATAGCTTCGGGTTCAGCAGTTCAGGAGTGAGGCCCGACATTTGTGTTTCTAACCAGTCCTCCATGTGGTACTGAAGGAATCCCAAGAAGACATTCACAGTACCTTGTTGTTGTTGTTAAGTGCCGTCGAGTCGGTTCCGACCCATAGTGACCCTGAACAGGGTTTCCGAGGCTGTAAATCTTTACGGGAGCAGAAAGCCTCATCTTTCTCCCGCGGAGCAGCTGGTAGTTTTGAACTGCTGACCTTGCGGTTTGCAGCCCAATTCGTAACTACGAGAGCTCACAGTACCTACTGTTTATCAAATCTCCCAGACTTCTAAGCTGAAATAGAGTAAACCCAAACCAAACCCCCTGCCATCGATTCTGACTCATAGGGGCCCCATATGGGGTTTTCGATACTGTGAATCTTTATGGGAGCAAACAGCTTCATCTTCCCCTATAGAGCAAGTGGTGGGTTTGGCCTTGTGTTTAGCAACCCAGTGCTTAACCCACAGCACCATCAGAGCTCCTTGAAATAGAGCAAAGGCATTGTTTTTATAAATCAACGTTTATAATAGTCAACTAATGTGATAGTCAGCTGGGGTTTCAGGTTCCTTACATATTTCCTGGTGGCGCAGTGAGTTAAATTCTGAGATTGTTAACCTAAAGGTTGGAGGTTTGAACTAATCAGCTGCTCTGTAGGAGAAAAACAAAGTCCTGGTGTGGCGCTGTGGCCTAATGCACTGGACTGCAAACTTGTTTGAACCACAAGGTCTGTGGTTCAAGCTCACCAGCAGCTCCTTGGAAACCCTATACAGGGTCGCTAAGGGTTGGAACTGACTCGACAGCCCTTAACAACAACAGCAATGCTTCCTAAAAAAATACCGTTTCAGAAAGCCTGTGAAGCAATTCTTCTCTGGCCTATAAGGGAACTGTGAGCTGGAATTCACTCAATAGAACAGAATTATACATTTCTAGAGCAAGCATGCAGTTTAAGTCAAATATTATGCTTAAGAATATTGTAGTTGAGAACACCCCATATGGGGAAAAAATCAAGTATGAGATTCTAGAAGTACTGCCTCCTCCCTAACTGAAGTGCTCATCAACCTGGGAGGGGATTCGTTGAGATGTGTGAAGATTTGACATTCTGTTTTCTAATGGTGGTGCAATGGTTTAGTGCCCAGCGGTTAGCTAGAAGTTTAGCAGTTGGAACTTGGCAGCTGCTCTGTGGGAGAAAGATGGGACAGTGTGCTTCTGTAAAGATTGACGGCTCCCTATGGAGCATTTCGACTCTATCCTATGGGCTGGCTATGAGTTGAAGTCCATTCAGTGGCACTGGGCTTTTTGCTTGTTTGTTTCTAATAATGCTCTGTATTTTTGTGGGAACAATTTCAGGGAAATATTCTCTTGGGGGAAAATGATTTTCCCAGATGACTAATTGCAGAAGCCATGGATGATCCCACAGCTGAGACTGACCTTATCAATCTGAGATGCACAGTCCCCTCGAGACCCCAGCCGAACCAGAGCAAGGGCCGTGAAGAGGCTCAAAGAGGAGAAGAATACATTTCCATTTCCTTGATTGTTGTCCATTTCTCTGAACAGGTTGAAGCAAAATTCTGCATTTGCTGCAGCAAGGGAGTTCATGGTGGCGTGGAGGACAGCCTAAAGGACAATGAAAAGAGACTTATCACCAGATGAGCTCTCAGTGAATATCATGGTTGTCATACTCATTTGTTTTTCAACTCCAAGCTTCATTTCTTCAGCTTTAGATTTAATCCATAAATACTTTGGAGCAAAAAGATATTACAAGAAAGTTGCTTTGACCCAGCACCCTTGTTACCAACAACTTAAGAGTCTTTTCTAGCAATGATATTAACAAACATTCTTTTTTTATGTTGATGTTCTGAATGCAATCTTTGCACCTGTATACTCATATTCTCTCTGCTCTTCCATGTAAAGTTTCTAGCCTCAGTAGCCTGTGGTTGTGCTCTTTTTAAGGCCCAAGCAGATATATTCACGGGATCTGTTCTTTCCTACATCACCCCAGACTCCTAAGCAAAAGATCAAAGGTGCTGTTTAAAGTGAATTAACTTTCCCAGTAGCAAACTATCTGTTAGAGAGACAATAGCCTCCTTATGTCCCGGTAGCATTTTGAATTACAAGTTGGGCTTCACAACTCGTAACTCAAACCACAAAATCAGCAGTTCAAGTCTGCCAGTTACTCCAAGAGAGAATGATGAGACTTTCTGCTCCTGTTAAGATTTATGGTCTCAAAAACCCTATACAGAGTTAGTATGAGTCAGGACCAACACCAAGGCACATAACCATAGCACATAACCCTTACACATTACTTGAGCAATTATACTTCCTAATTTGGAGGAAAATTGCCATAATTTCAAATATTATGCTTCATTGATCCTATAAATGCATTTCTTCTTTACAGACTACTTTCTGAGTTTTGTCATAAAAGAGGTGCATTATATATATATATATATATATATATATACAATGAAAGTGTATAAGACTTTACAACAAATAGGCCTGTCTATTGTTGGAAACCTAAGTGCAGTATAATAATGTAGAAGTCAAGATGACAAAGAGTCTATCTTCACTTTCTGGATTGCGTTGTTTCTGTAACATAGAGTGCCGCTGCCACCATGAAATTCTTCAGGACTCTGCTTTGGCTTGCTACTGTTTTTTGCAGACTTTCACCACAAGGCTCAAACTGATCCCATTACCACACTTTGGGTGGTCTCTAACGAAATGAAATTACATGGATATTCCAGATGACCCCCATGTGACATTTGTGCCTGGCAAAACCCGAGCTCTTTGTCTGTTGCAGGTGTGAGACCAAGAAGACCCTGAGGCAGGCTTTTTAGTTTGGAGGAAAAGTCAGCTTTATTGCTCTCTGCAGACTGCCACGAGACAGAGAGATCTCTGCCATCAATTGTCTCCCCAAGGAGGATTAGGAGTAATTTACAGGGCTTCAGGGAATAAGCATGGAAAAATCTTTTTTTATCAAGAGTATGGGAACCTGTCACAAGGCAGGAATGTGGGTACAGATCACAATGCTGAGATGGGAAATGCTATGGTTTCTTGTGTACAGTTTCTACCCTCAATAAGCACTTTGATCCTTCACGCTATAGTGGGTTGTAGTTTCAGTAGCTAGGACTGGCACTGGAGCACTCAGATCTGCTCACTGTTTGTTGTGTAAGGAGCTGTCCTTATACAAAGAGACATTTTGCAAATGTTTAACTACTTTCTTAGCTTCTGATCAAGTTCGAGGGAGAAGGGAAAGAGGCTACAAATGGAAAAAGAGTTGCTGGGCTCTTTTGCTGCCTGCATCAACATGACCATGATTTTACAGGTGTGATGAGTTCCAAAAGTTCTAAGCTACAAAGTGGGAGAGCCAATGCTAGTACCAGTACTGTTACTAACAATTGTGTGGCCTGGATCTAGTCTTTAGCATCTTTGAACTTCGAAGTTCTCATCTGATCCAGTAATATGATCTAGTTACAGGTTCTAGTGCCAGATTCTCAGCAGAAAACCATGTACCATTTCTCCTTGTCGCTGGCAAAAGGAGCATTGCTATGAGAGGGAAGACATGTAGTTTCAAAACAATAGTTTAAACTTGCCACTAAGTTGACTTTGTTGCTATCGCAGATATCTAACACATTTTAAAATTACAAATGACATGAAAGACAGTTTTTTTCAATTTTCGATTTTATCAAAAGGATAAAAGCTGGAGTTTAAAAACAACTGTTCTAGTATAATGCCTGACACTAGTAGGCACTCAATGAAGTGAAGTTGTTATGATTATCTGTAAAAATCATAATCCTCTGTTCCATTCTGAAAGAACAAAATGAGTATTTCCCAAACATGGTTCCTAAGGAGCCCATACTTGGCCCAAGAACACACTGAAGCATATGTGACGCAAACCACAAGGTTGGCAGTTCAAACCCACCAGTCACCTCTCAGAAGCCCTATAGGGGTTTCTATGAGTCAGAACCAACTGGACGGCACTTGACAACAACAACAACAGCAATATAATAAAGGATACTGATTTTCAGGCTTAGGCCAGTGACGTTGAGGTCCCTATGGACCCTTCTCCTCAATTACACCCGAGTCCAGAGTGAGAACATCTGCTGATTCACACCCCCACAAAGCACTTCACACCAAGAAAGAACAGTCTTTGTCATTGACCTCCTTTTGGAAATTTAACATTGATTTCATAGTGAATGCAAGTGATCCAGGCCCAAGAGGGTGGTTGCTGTGATGAGAGCAATCGGGAAAACCTGTTCTAGCAAAAGAGAGAAGGAGTAAAAGGATGGAAGTTGGGGGTTCAAGGAAGCACCATCCAGTGAGCGCCATTGGCGTTGCCTAAGATCCACAACTTCTTAAAGATTGGAACTCATATTTTAGACCTGAAAAGTTAAGTATTGCTTTCCAAAATAATTTTTTTAAATAATCTTTAAAAGGAAAATTATTTTAAAATTAATAAGTATACAATTAAATGAATTAAAAAACACATGAGCTTATTTTAACATTAAATTTAGTAGTCTTAAAATTCCCATTACTTTTGGAAGCCTATTCTGTGAGCGATTGTCTCTCTTCTAAAGAATTAAATCTAAAGATTTCATGATGGCTGAAAATCATAGCCAACAGTAAATGAAATAAATCCCTCTTACAAAAGTAACTTCCAAAGCAAAATCGAATATTACTTTCCAAATATCTACACAAAAATTATTTTTATCGATCTCAGAGTACAAAAACACATTTTCAGTTGCATTTTTCTTTGGTCAAGTTACAATGCTTGTTATTTTACAAGTTTGTGTCTTCTTATTTTATCCCATGGGGGGGAGGGGCAGGAGAAAATCCTTACATGTTTTTGTAAGTTATTCTTAAATCACTTTTAAAGCAACTAATAGAAATTTTATGTTCTGCTCTTGCTGCTGTCATATGCCTTTTCATGAAACTGTCGTGTTGAGTGAAGAGAAGCTCCATCGGAATTAGTTTAGAGTATCAAGTCTATAATCTTTATGGTTTAGGTAAATTTTGTGAAATAGAAACCATCCTAATAAATTATGATTACAAAGAAATGATTACCTGAAACATTCCTAGATGATGATAAATTCTCAAGCAACAATTTAAAATAGGATAAATGGCACTAAGTAGTATGTACTTAAGCGTTCTTGTGTAGACATGCTCACACATTTTAAAAATAAATAACCAAAAAATGTTCCACCTCACCCACTTATTTTTATTATGATTCTCTCTGCAGGTGCACTGTCACTTCAAGAAATGAAATCAAGATTCTGCCTTCCCTCATCTGATATCATGTAGGAATCCCACGGGCAAATAGATAACTATTTCTAAGGCTAAAGTAATTGTTTTACACTCTAAGGTACTGTTGCAAAAATGGTGGTCTTCTTTTTTCCCATAATTATTGTACACCGCAACTTTTAAAAACACAAAAACAAAGGTAAGCTAAACAGACCATCAATAGAGAGTCAATGATTTGGGTCTAAGTTAAAGAATTAAAGGAAAGTAAATTACAGCTATAGAGGGCATCAGCTTGACACTACTCAGTTGTCATTGTCCACACATAACAATGAACAAAAATTCTTTTCAAATCACTCAAAAACTTAACTATAGAGACTAATTTTTCATTTCTTTAAAATATACTATACTCTTATGTATCTTAAAGCAGTAGTTTAATATGCAAGTCTATAATTGATAACTTTTGAGCTATCACAAATTAATAAGTACTCATGAAGCTTTTAAATCCCAGATTTCAGATTTGAGTATCTGAAAATCTGTAACCTTATTTAATTGTGAGTATGGCACATAACAACAACAGTGGTGTATTTTAATCCAACAACTTTTTTACCCCATTCTACTTATACTCAAAGGAGCTCTCACATAGCATAGTGGTTGTAAATCGGGCTGCTAACAGCAAGGTCAGCAGTTCAAAACTATTAGCTGTTCCACAGGAAAAAAAGATGAGGCTTTCTGCTCCTATAAAGATTTACTGCCTCAGAAACCCAATGCAGGGCATTGGCAGTGCCGTCTCCATGGCACACCACCATGACTTCTGGTCAAAATATTATAGGTCTGAAAACAAAAAACTAGAAACTTTCCCACTAAAACTTTTTTTTTTAAGTCTGATAAAAATAAACACAATTTTAAAAAGAAAGCATAAATAAAACTAAACACAAAGCACATTCAATAAAACATGAAATGATAATGTAATATTTCACGAACTTAAGCTTGCTATACATAATTTATTTATAGAATTGATGAACTATGCGTCTCAAGAGTGCAAAGAATATTGAATATGTCATGGACTTCCAGAAGACTGAACAAATCTATCTTGAAGGTACCGTCACAATGTTTGTACCAGTCCCTGAAGAAGGTTATGCTTGATAAATAAAGCATCAACGAAAAAGAGGATGATGCTCAATGAGATGGATTTGACACAGTAACTGCAACAATGTCCTAAAACATCGCACTGACTATGAGGATAGTTCAGGATCGGGCAGGGTTTTATTTCATTGTACATCACAGGGTCACCCACCAGCTTCTCCTTGGAAACCCGATACAGTGTCACTATGGGTCAGAAACAACTCAACAACGACAATAAG